CTGGGAAGTGACGGAGGCGGGCCGGGCCGAGGGCCCTGGGCTGTGCAGGCAGCTGCAGCAGGGCCGGGAGCTAAACCAGCCTGGTTCCCCTCGGTGGCTGCTCAGACCTGATAGAAACCGCCAGAAGGAAGGGCTGCCTGAATTCCTCCTACTGGGTCTGAGCGGCCTTGCTGACAGCCCCTGACGGCTGGGTTCACGCATCACTCTGCACCTGGAAAGAACTTTCCGGAGATGCAGCTCATTCTCCCACTCCTGCCCGTGTCCCCGCCCTGTGGGACTGGGGTGCTTTTCCTTGCACAAGGAGCTGGTTTGGGGTGTGGGGAGGAGGGCAGGGAGGGGTCCACGGGAAGCTGGAGGTCTCACAGGCCCCACCTCAGAGCTGGGCAGCATGGACCCTGCCCCTCTGGTCCCCTGCCTGGGCATGGCCCGGGCACCATTGGCCCTGGCAAGGACCTTTCAAAGAGAAGATGAAGGCCCTAGCCTGTGTGGCTCAGTGGTTGCAGTGTTGGCCCTCAGACTGCAGGGTCTCGAGTTCGATTCGGTCAAGGGCATATATCTCCGTTGTGGGCTCAGTCCCTGACCCCGGTCAGGGTGCGTGTAGGAGGCAGCCAGTCGATGTGTCTCTCTTATATAGATGTTTCTCTCTCTCGGTCTCTCCCCATCCCTTCCACTCCCTCTAAAAATCAATGGAAAGGTATCCTTAGGTGAGGATTAACAGCAACTACCAAAGAGGAAGCACATCCCCTGGGGTGGCGGGGGTGGGGTGCAGGCTCTGTGCTCCTCGTGGGGGTCCAGCCCTTGCCCCTTGGGCCCAAGGCATCTATTCTCCCTGCCAGCACCTGGGCGACAGCCACTGACGCCCTCACGGGGATGTTCGAGTGCTGCCATGTATGTGTGCTTCGTGACAAAACCTACCACCAGACCGCCAGGACGGGGGTCCCGTGTGATGAGGCTGTGAGGGTGACTGGGGCAGAGGAGCTGAGAAGCAACCGCCAGTGTTGGCACCTCGACGGCCCTCTTCCTGTGCCACCGGGGCCCGGCCCTGGGGAGATGCGGATTCTTCGTCCTTCACTTACAACAAGATACGACATGGTCAAGCCGACAGGAGAGGGCATGTCAGCAGCTGTCCTATTGAGGCCCATCTACCCTTCATGTTGTCATGGGTTACGTGTCCCCGGATTCCCATGTTGAAGCCCTGATCCCCAGCCCCTCAGCATGTGACTGTATGTGGAGTTGGGTCTTTACCAAGGTGGTTACATTAAAACGAGGCCATTAGGGTGGTTCTGACCCCCTAGGACTGGTGTCCTTACAGGAGATGAGGACACGCACACACACACAGAGGGGCGACGACACGGGGACCCGGGGAGCGGACAGAGTCTGCCCCAGGCCTGCTCCTCTCCTGCAGGCATGAGCGTGCGGCGGGACCCGACCCATAGTACCTTGCTCCTGGGAAAGAGGATTCGTTGGTCAGGTCCAACGTAAAGGAATCCTTCGGTCCCACTCTGCAAAGAAATTAAGTCCTCAGCGACTTGCGTTTTATTTCCGTTTGGATTTTAATGTATCAGTTTCCCTGAAGGTGGGTGCCCGGGAAGCCAGCAGGGGGCCCCCTGGGGGAGGGGCCGGCACTGCGGGTGGGATGTCCCCTGCATTCCTGCGGGGACGCCTCACTCAGCTCCCTCAGGGCTGTGACTGTTCCGAGCTTTTCAACCGCAGGCGAGTAGCATCGTTGCGGAGTCCTGACGCGTTCCACAGTTTCCGCTGATGAAATCAGCCATCAGTTGCAGCTGAGGTGATTTCCAACCCGATCTGCATAAGGTGGGGGTTTATGGGCTCAGCTCTGAGCGAGGAAGGAATAAACTCCCGGCGACGTCAGAGGCCGGCCGAGCCTGTGCCATGACACGGCGGGGACCAGATGACAAAGGGCTCCCTGTGCCTCTGTGCCGCCCTCTCTCTCCCTGTCGATCAGACATGGCTCTTGGGGTTTGGGACCAGCCCGGAGAGGCCCCAGGCTGGGGCAGAGGCACCGACCAGAGAGAATAACCTCACTGCGTCCCATGAGCCAACATGTGAGGCTGTTGTCCGAGATAGCTGTGGCCTGTCCGCCACCTGGGAGCCAGGGCCTGGGGCCCTGGACGCGCTTTTCATGACTCAGGTGGAAGGCTGGCATTCGGGAGGGCGGGGCGAGTGCCTCCGGAACTGGGACAAGGTCAGAGACAGGCTGTCCCCGAGTGAATGAGCGAGTGAGCGTGGACCGAAGGCTCCCTGCAGCAGCTGCCGCCCCACAGCTCCTGGGGGATCTGATGGGTCATGTGGGGTGGTGGGAGTGCACAAGTGGGGTCCTGAGTGCGGGTGGTCCGGGGAGGGCTCGTCACCTGCTGGAGCCTGGACAAAGGGCTCAAAGGCCTCAGCCTCCGTGCTGCCCTGCAGAGGAGTGTCCTCCCAAGGACCCGGCCCTGCCCCCCCCCAGCAGGGAGTCGGTCAGGTTGAGGGTGTGTCTCAGGCGCCCTCAGAGCCCACACCTGGGGAGAGGCCTGGGCAGGAAGCCCCAGTCCCAGGAGCTCCTACTGTGCCCTCTGGCCGTCTTCTGGCTCAGGCTCAGACCCTGCTCCTCTTCCCTTGGACCCTGGGCACTCACGTCCTGGACTGACGGGGTGGGGGCACCTTTGCCTGCTGTGGTCCTCCCTGGCCTTTTCAGACCTGCAAGGCCAAGACCTACCCTGTAGACAGCCAGGCCCAGCCCCGGCCGCTTCCTGCAGCCAGGGGACCTGCCGGGCGAGCCAGTTGACGGCCGGCTGACCTCGTCCTAATGGGCCTCAGGACCACAGTCTTCCTGACAGGAAGCACGTCCAGCAGGCCCGAGAGGCAGCCTCCTGTGCATATTGCAACAGGCGTGTTTACACGGGTTAGCCAAGTGTACGCTGGCACGACTTCTGTCACGCCGCCCGGAGGCCTGCAGCGATGCCAGGTGGCTGCGAAGGGAAGTGGGAAAGGATACTGGGGGTGGGGGGCGCTGGGGGCTGTGCGGGGGGGCGGGGCAGAGGAGGGGCTGGCAGAGGGAGCTATGTATTCACATGTGAGTCCGTGTGCAAGTGTGTGTGTGAGTACATCTGTGAGAGTGTGTGGGAGAGCGTGGGAGTCTGTGCTGGGGGCATGTTTTGGTCCCTATTGACCCTAAGGGAGGTATTTGAAATCTATAAAGGAAGAAAATTCAATCACATGTACTGAACATAGTAAAATTACCAGAAGGTAGCATGGTCCCCAAATCACAAACATAGGGACCTGCATTGCTGCTCTGTGACAGCTCCAGCCCCTCCCTCCCTGCTGTGCAGACCCCAGGACAAACCACAGGTGTGGTGGGGAGGCGTCATGCTCCCTGTCAATGCCGAGCCCCCCAAGAAATTGGTGACTCTGCAAAGCAGCCCCGGAGGGGTAGCGGGAGGGTTACGTGGGGGCACAGCCCCTGTGTGCCCCTGCTCTCAGGTCCTGCCCGGCTCCGAGTCAGCGGCAGCAGGACGCTGTGGCGTGGAGATAGCAGAGTCTCTGCTGGGCTCCCTCCCTAGAGGTGGAGGAAGGGGAAGTGGCTCTTTGACCGCTGAGCTGGGACATCCCTTCTCCCTTGGACTCGGACCAGGACTTAGAACGTGGGCGCTTCTTGTTCTCACGGCTTCACACTTGGACTGAATTCACCACCAGCTCCCAAGTCTCCGGGTTGTAGACAGCAATTTCAGGACTTGTTAGCCTCCCAAATCATGTGAGCCAATTCCTCACAATAGATCTAGCTGTCATCTATCTATCTATCTATCATCTATCTATCTATCTATCTATCTATCTATCATCTATCCAACTCTACCTCCTTACCTACTTATCTACCGACCTATCGACTGGTTCTATGGGTCTGTTTCTCTGGAGGACCCTGGCTAGTACCATGCCTGTCTGGGAAGGGATGCTTCCATTGAACGGGTCCCTATCCCAGTAGGCGACACCCTGCTCCCACCTCTGCCCCTCCAAGTCACCTCCCACGTCTGCTCTGTGGCCCTGGCGACACCTCCTCCTGGGCAGGGGCTCTTAGGGGGACAGGATTGAGCAGGCCTGTACCCTGAGGGGTGGCAGGGCCCTGCATGCTCTCGAAGTCCCCTCCTCCGGGGCAGGGGGAGGGAGGGAGACCCCTGCAGTCACTGGGAACACAGGTGCCCCTGTGAGCACCCCACACCCTCCGCTGCTCTCCCTGCCGCAGGCCCCTCCCAGCTCTCATTCCTGGCAGCTGTGCAAAAGGAATGTGTCCTCCTGGCCCGTGGCTGTGCAGCCCTGTTATCAGGAACCTCTGAGATGCTGTGACCCTTGAATTTAAACACAATGACATGACTTGGGATCCTGACAGCGAAGGGGGAAAAGCAAAGATTTAACAGGGACATGCTCCCTCGGGGTTTTAGAATCTTCCCCTTGGAAAGGGGAAGAGAAGAGGGAGGAGAGGGAAGAGAGGGCGGGCCAGGGCCGGAAGGACAGTGCCAGGAGCTGGACCTTGGGTCTCACGGGGCCGCCTGAGCTCCTCCTAGGCAGGCGGTGCCAGCCACCGGGGCGGTCAGGCCACCGTCCTATTTACCTTTAGTTCAGGTTAGCGAGTTCAAAGTGACACTCCTTATCGCGTTTTTAAGATTGAGAGAGGACTTGAGACCTACTCATGCAGAAGCAGCCCTTGGCATGCTCTTTTATTGCTCAACCACGGTGACTTTTATAGGCACAGTCACGCTTTTATTAGGTCCAGCAACAGTTCCTTTGCTTTAGCATTCAGCTGTGACGTCTATAGCAATAAAGATAAGCTTTTAAATGCCAGTTCGTTTACTTAAGCACACGACACGGGTTTCTTTCCTCTTCTGCTTGATGGCATTGTTCACACCCCAAAAATGTGGCCCGACAAACCCTCTGCGTTAGCGTGATTCTGCAGTGACACTGTATGTAAGGCGCCACAGCAGTGACACGCCCCAAAAGACAGTCATTGGCATCCAGGAACACAACACAGAGACGAACATAAGAAAGATATGCGTGAGGAAGATGTAAAGAATTAATAACCTTAGTATATAAAGAGTTCTCAGAATAAATAAGAAAAGCATTTACCCTGCTAGAAGACATCCTTTGATTTTACCCACCCAAAGGAGTCTGTGGCTCCTCATCTGGTCTTAGTTCTAAGGAACCAGAGCCTGGTCAAGGCATGTGTGTAAGGCAACCAATCAATGTGTCTCTCTCACATCAATGTTTCTGTCTCTCTCTGGCTCTCCCTCTCCCTTCCACTTTCTCACAAAAAAATAAAAAATGAATCAATAGAAAAATATCCTCAGGTGAGGATTAAGAAAAAACAAACAAACAAGAAAAAGAAAATTCATCCATTCATCAGTTAGGAATGAAGAGATTTGGAAAAGATGCTCATGACAGCATTGTTTATAATAATGTATAAAAACAACAAGTATCTAAAAATAGCAAAAATGTTAAATAAATGTTAGACATAATGGGATATTAAACATTGATAACAATGTCTTTAAATAAAATATGATACAAGGAAATTTCCTTTATATAAATAGAAAAAAAAAACCCCAGGATATATAGCTGTTCATATTCATAGAATATTATCCACATTTATTTTTTAAAAGATTTACAACATATATTTATATAAGTAGGAAAAATATACCAAAATAATAATAGTGGTAGCATCTGGGTGGTAGAATTATGGATTATCCTAACTCTTATTATTTCGTATAGACTCTTACTCATATATATTTCTTACAATAGTCATCTATTCAATTTTATGACCACTCCACACAGAGACCGCAAACCTTACTGCAGGTGAAGAGATAAAACAACTTAAATCTGATTACGGGGCTGGTGTTTCCGGGTGAAACCTGAGGAGTAAAACGACCTTGTGATTGTTTCCAAAACCTTCCAGGGCTCCGTCCACCGGAGAGCCCGCGCAGCCCAAGTTTCAATGCGAAGTGATGTGTTTTGGTCTCTGCCTCCCGCACTGCTTCCTTCTTCCTCCCCCTGTTTATCTGTTTGGTTTGGGACCGACGACTGCCCCAGAGAAGAGGAGCACCTGCACCCCCCGCCGCCCCCCCCCCAGGTTGCCTGACTGGCTCTAGGTCAGCCAGTTGGAGGAAGGCTGCAATCTGACCCCCACCCGTCTCCCCGCTCACGCTGTGAGCCTCGCAGGGCAACACTCCAATAAGGATCGAGTGTTCAGGGACAGACGTGTCACCCAGCCTGGCCCTCTGACATCTCTCCAGACTATGCCACAAGCTGACCACATTTCCCTGCCCTCGCAAAACCTGTGGAAAGCCCCACAAGTTTTCCTAAGTCCCCGCGCATTTAAGATCAGGCCTTGACGGGCAGGGCTGTGCTCTACTGATTCCTTCTCTCCACCCTCCTCCCCTCTGAAGCCCTGCAGGGGTGGGTCAGGCTGACACGGGTCCACTGAGCCATCTAGAAGGAAGGTGGGTGTCACCTGGGGAGGGCAGGCTTGCCCCTGACCACCAGGAGCCCTGGGACCAGCTGAGCCCTGCTGGGCGTCCGCCTTTGCCCTTATGGCAATGACATTGTTCCCAGGCCTTAGCCCACACCAAAGAGGTCCCGGCTGGGCTCCAGCTGTGGCGCTGGCCCTGGTGGTGCCAGCTAACTCCCCAGGACCACCCTGGCCACCCTGTGCCGGAGAAAGGGCAGCTCCACCCAAGGCACCAGATGGGCTGGGTGGAGCCAAGCTGTCTCAGGACCCAGCCTACTGGTTCTCAGCCCCATGGCTGGAGGGTGGGGTCTCCATCAGGTCCCCTTCCCCTAGGGACCCAACCATGGGCATCTCCTGGGCTGCAGGGCCCCCAGTGCCCTTGGGGGAGAGCTCCCCTCTGTGGGTTGCTGACTGGTAGGGCCAGAGCTGGACCAAAGGACCAACGATGGGGGTGAGACTGGAGCTCCTCCACCCCCTGCACCTCACGGGATACTCCCACAGCACCTGAACCCACCACGGACCTGCTCATGGCCAGTCAGGCCGACCGTCAGGCAGTGTTCCCGGTGGGGCTGCCTGCGCCCGGGCTGGACCTCTGAAGGGGAAGCCACGTGTCCTGCTAGGGGCTCTGACTCCTGGCCTGTCCACGCCTCTGCAGCCCTCGATCTGGCGACCCCACACCTTTCCACAGAGGAATGTTCTGTCTTTGGTCCCCACAGGGGTGTTCAAGGCCTAGTAACCCCGAGAACATTCATTTTCATTGTTATCAGTGGGGGCAGACATCCTAGGAGGCCCGGTTCTACAAAGTTCCAAAGCGGGAGCGCAGCCTGACCACAGCCAGAGCCAGGCACGTGTGCACACGCAACCCCTGACACCCACACATGCATGTTCCAGAGACATGCTAACAGCACACACACATGCCACACGCACACACACAGGCACACACACATATGCCACACGCACACACACAGGCACCCACACACATATGCCACATGCACCCACACAGATAACCACACACATGCCACATGCACACACAGGTACCCACACACACATGCCACATGTACACACATGTACCCACACACATATGCCACATGCACCCACACAGATACCCACACACGTATGCCACATGCACCCACACAGGCACCCACACATATGCCACATGCACCCACACAGATACCCACACACATATGCCACATGCACAGGCACCCACACCACCCACGCTTCTGTCCACCCTAAGGTGTGTGCTAGTGCCAGCTCTCTGAAAGAAGTGTGTCACCTGGGGGAGGAGGGGAGGGCTTTGGGTCTGTCTGTGCTGTTTGATTTCTGCAGGAGAACAGGTGTAATTTAAAATAGAAGCAAAAGGCTGTGAGTCAAACCTGACCCAGAGCTGCGCTGGGCCTCGTCTTCCTCTGTGAACGGACACGGTTGTTTCTACCTTTTGGCTGTTGTGAATAATGCCTCCATGAACACGGGAA